CATTCAAGGAATTCAAATCTGAAATTTGATCATTTTCCTCCACAATCCAATCATCATCGGAAGAAAGGTCTTCAATACCATAGTTTTTTTCTTTTCTAACTCGCTTCTTGTTCAATTTGGAATTTTCCATGACATAAACTACATCATTCATGGTCTTTTGCAACAAACGATTCCTTTTCTTGCTATGGACCTAAATGAAAAATCAATTATCATATAATAGGAAAAAGGAAATGAAATACATTATATATATACATATATACCATTTTAAATTAGAATTTTTACCCTTTCTTGCTTGAAACAAGGCTAAATAATCAAGATTTTCATTGGGATAATCGATTACCAAAGGAGATAATCGATTACCACATAATGAAATACAATTCTAGGTTTTGAGAAGCTTGGGATAATCGATTACCATATCCTGTAATCGATTACTCTGACACTTTATGTTCAAAATTCAATTTTCAGATGAATTGGTAATCAATTACCATATCAGGTAATAGATTACTTGCTTTATGACTCTTTATAACTGAATTACATCATGCACTTTAAATACCTATATTTTATGAAATTAAAAGAGAACCTTTTTGAAAAAAAGAATTAGAGAAAAATAATACTTTCAAAAACAAGAATCAAAGGATGATCAAAGAAACTTTTTCTGAAATACCAAGAAGTGTAAAGATTGAACATGTGTTCTTGAAGGAAGAAATTCAAGAAGTGAATTCAATTGTGAAAGATCAATGTCTATACAAAATAGGTGATATCTTCCTGATCTTTTAAAGTGTATTTTTGTTTTGCATGGTGTATCTCTTGAGATAGGATGTCTTAACAAGAGATCTTGAAATCTTGAGTGAGATTTCTCAAGTAATGTCTGAAGGGTGCAGACATTTGTGTGTTTTTCAGTCTTGTAGTGTCAAGATTGATGTGTGTTAGCATTCTTATAATATTGTGTGTGCATAGTGCTTGTAAACAATATTATAGTGAATGATCTTTGATTTAGTGAGGTGCTAAATCAGAGAAAATTGGATGTAGGCCAAGTGGATGGTTGAACCAATATAAATTTTTACATTCTTTATCTTCTTACCCTTATTTCATTAATAATCTTGTTATGAATCTGATTAAAGAATTCAAAGATTTATGAGATATCTTATTTCAATTATCACTCATATTTTGAATATTATTCTTATAATTGAAATTGATTAAGAAGTTAGGAATATAAAATCAACCTTGATTACAAGTGACTGATTTGTTGTGTTAACATTGAAATTCTGATATATTGGTATTGTATCTTATAATCTACTGTAATTTGTTAAATCAAATTGGTTAAAGGTTGAGTATTGAATATCTTGGTAGGCTATAATCAAGAAATTTCAAAAATAGTCATCTTAGGATAAAATTTATTCAACCCCCCTTCTAGATTCTAGTAAATAGGGACCAACAGATCTCTCTTGAGTACAAGAAACTTAAAGAAATGTGACAACACAAGTGCTATTAACATCTCAAAAGAATCCAATTAACATCTCTTATAGACGATATACATTTTACACTTCATCTGATATACAATATTTTGTAGATAATTCATTTTTTTTAAAAGAAAATCTTTCTTTTGTTATCATTAAAACTTGAGAAACCCAAGATCATCTTTTAACTTAACAAAGGCCTTCATTATCCATTTATACCTAGGTAACACAGTTACACACACTCTTAATTAGTCTTCTTAATTACGGTTAGGTTTTGTGTAATTTTAAGCACTAATTCTAGTGTAACTTAGCTTTAAAATTAATCTTTGATGAGTTATACTTATAGTTAGTTTAATCATATATTTAATTAACTTAATTTTAATGTTAATTAAGTCCCACAAATATGAATCACATCTTAAGTACTCTTATTTATTTTTAAGCTTACCTTACAAAATTCTTAAAATTTACTAGTATGTCATCAATGAGTTGACTAAATCCTCCTTTGACTCTTGTTGACTTTCTAATCTAGTTTTGACCTTTTTTCTAAAATACTAAATAAATTAAATTTGAAATTAGTCTAAGTTTTTTCCATAATTAAGTTAATCCATATATACACTAGTTGATCTTAACTAAGTGTTACTAGTTAACGTCTTTGTATTAATCTAGCGCCTGATTTAATTCAATTAGCTATATTACTAATTAATTAGTTCTAAGGTTTCACCACTAATTAATTCATCACTTATATGCATTTAGGTCTGTACTAAGTATTAAGTCTTAACAACTTCTATTTAGCTTTTGAGACTCTTAATTAATGTAGACTAGTTTAATTGATCCATATTATTAACTTAATCAAGAATTGAAAATCCTATTTATTTTAGTCAAAATTCTTATTATTTAATTCCTTTGTATTTAAACTCATTAAAAGGTTGTTTTTTTATTTAAATAACTATTATTTATTATATTCTAATTAGTAAATTTAGGATGTTACATAATTAGTGATTAGGATGATCCGCGACCCAACTCATCGATCTCTTAGCTTGCTAATCCCTTTGTCCAAATCTTGAATATAGTCATAGTGACTACTTTTTATGTCTAGTCAATTTATGTTTGTCGTCTTCTTTTGCTTTTGGGGTATCCTCTTTAGAACCTTTTTGCTTTGGTGGTGCCTTGGTGGATTGGTTAATATGGAAAACTTGATATATAGATGGACATTATCCTCAAACTTGGCAATGACATTGTTAGCATTATACTTAGATTGAATGGGGGATTCACTGATTTGTCTTTTATCATTGTTGAGGTTTGTTGAATCTTTAGTTGATTCTTTGTATATCTTACAAGTTGGTTCCTTGTTTTTATTTTTAATAAGTCTTTTTGTTGGACTTCGAGTTCAATCCAATACTCTCCACTTACAAACTCACTTTATTTTATTTAATTTTAAATAAAATATTTCTTTACATTACTACATAATTAATCCAAAATTATTATTTATATAAAAAATGGGATGTTACCAATTTTCTTTTCTTCGTAAATATTTCCTTTTATTTTTGACCTTGTATTTTTAGGTCAAATATATTAGGAATTTGTTTCTTTGTAATTTTCTCTTAGTATTTGAAAAATGTACTTATTGGACTTGTTTCGGCCAATACAGATGTGGAGCCTTTTTGCTCAAGGTGGGACATTCACTTTTCAAATGTATATTCTCCCGTTGACTTCACACATCATCCACCAAGTCACATGTTACACACGCTAATCACAGCTTTAGCATACTTGTTTCTACACCACCATTTTTCTTACTAACACAACCCAATCACACCTTTTACACCATATCATGTGGCAAACTTTCATTTAATCTTTTAGATATAGGAGTAGGCACCCAAAACACTTGAAATTGAAATTTGAATTTCAATTTGGGAACTAGAGTACAAGTTAACCTACCATTGGTTCACCTTACCTTTGTCAGCTTAACTTGTACCAAAAGCTACTAAACTCTATATGTAAGATGTTCCATGTGTAATTTTGAAGATTGATGAGAGTTAATATTGATTTTCTCTCAAATTCAAGAGCCTTAGAGTTTCTCTCTTAGAGTACAATTCTATTTGAATCTTTTATCAAGAGTCCTTTCATTGTGGTGAGAATCCTTCTTGGCTTATATTGTCATTAGAAGTGGAATCAACATTCCTATACCTTTCCATCATTTTTCAAGTTTCTTCTTCTTCAAAGAGTCTAATGGATGATCAAGAGATCAAGAGAGTAGAAAGAAACTTAGGATTTAAGATCCATCCTTGAAGCCTATTCCATCAAATCTGCGATCACTGAGAAAGTCATTTCACATCGGTTGAAATGACCTTTCTATGTCATTTGTACAATTAATTTAGATATAACAACGAGTTCAAGAACATTTTTACATTAGAGAAATAACCAATGTAGAATGTGAGCATATTCTATATTGATTATGTATAATTGATATAAAATATGACTAAATTCTAACTTTGTTACCACTATACATAAAAAGTAAAAATGACATTTTCACATTATTTAAGGAGAAAGGGATTGAAAACAATTCATGAGTAAGAATATAAAAAAAAAACTTAATTAACTTATAAATATGATATATATATATGACTAGTTTCTTTTTTTAAAAAAAACTAAAGAAATAGTATTTAAAAAATAAGAAACGATGAAGAAAAAATGTAAAAGGTTGCCACATAAAAATATTACATTATTAATATTTCTGAGCAATAATTCTGATTAAAAAAATATTTAAAAGAGATTTAACGTGTTAAATTTCAAAGAATTAGTTATAAAAATATAAATTATAAGGACTCTAATAAAAAAATTAATTTATAGGGATCCAATAAAAAAAATGTAATGAAATTTTAAAGACTTGTAGGTTATCTTTAAAAACCAAACTTAACAAATGCTAAAACATTAATATATTTATAATTTTTCAAAGTTTCTTTAATAATGTTTTACAGTTCATCCTTTGGAACAATCAAATCCTTGCAAATTTTTAAAATATAAAATTTAATGACCAAATAAAATTTAAACTTTAATGGCCAAATTAAAATCCGAACAAAATTTAATTTTTTTGAAAAATACCTTCTCACTGATATTTATTCAATAATATAAATAAATTAATAACAAATTAAATAATATTTTTATTTTATTTGCATGTTAATTAACACTATTTTTTTTTATAAAAAATAATAATTTCAACAACGCATTCATAGCACAAAAGGAAAAGGTAATATTATTTAATTTATTTGATTTCACCCTTATATGTATGTATATTATTGACCAAGTGATTTAAATAGTTTTCAGCTAAAAGCTCTTTTGGAATCTTCATTGGATCATTGACTATATTTCATCTTGTTGGAGTCCTTTAGGGAGAATTAATAATATATCTGCGAAATCATCTAGAAGCATTTCAATTAGAAACAGCTCCATAAATAATAAATTATTCTTTCACAGCCTCTAAGCATATAAGAAAACAATTAAAGTTCTATAGTATATATATTTAGCTACTCTCTATGGTACCCAAAACTTCGTAGAAACTCAGGATACAAGTGAAGTAACAAAGTTGTGAACAAGATGAAGAATCTTCCATTTTATGCTTGTTTACTCAATTTGAGTCTCTTGGTTTTTCTTCCCCATAGCAAAGCCACTCAAGCTGACAAACTAGATGAGTTGATTCTATCTAGGAGCTCACAGAATCCTCCTGTGACCCTTTCTTGGGAAGAGGAAGATGCAATAAAATTTCATTCTATTGCAAATGTGGCATCCCAAGAGGGGCTAAGGCAAGCTGATAAGATTGTCACATTGCCTGGCCAACCCTATGGGGTGAATTTTGACCAATATTCAGGCTATGTCACTGTTGATCCAGTGGCTGGAAGAGAACTTTTCTATTATTTTGTGGAGTCTCCACATAACTCCTCAACTAAACCTTTAGTGTTGTGGCTAAATGGAGGTATAACTTATTTTCTTTTGAGCCATTTCTGCACATACTTTTACTGCATATGATCATGTCATTTTCTTTTTCAGGTGATAAGCATAAGGTAGTGAGAAGTGATAGGGTATTTATTTTATGGAGAATGATAACAAATGGCCTTAAAACATGGTTAAATAAACAAAAGTATCAAGCAGTATGGAACCTTCTTGTTTACATTTTCGTTTACAAAATGCAAAATAGTTATTGGATTGGAAATTATTTACTATATGCTAAATTATTATTTTGGTTATTTATCTTATTTCTTAAAATATTTTTTGATTTTTTTATCTTTTAAGATGTTTATTTGGTCTTTTATTTTTTTAAATTTGAATCAAATGAATTCTTTTAAAATAATAATTATTTTCAATTTTATGACATAATTTTGAATCATTTTATGATGAAATTAAGACATGAAATTTATCTCATTAAATCATTTATATAAAAATTAAAATTTAATTGATATTCAAACTCAAAAGGACTCTAAATATAAAAAATCTTGTACAATGTGTATTCTACAAGCAACCAGAAAAAATCTGAAATTAGATTTTTTTTTTTTTAATTTTCTCTAGTTGTTCCTTGGACTCGTTTTCACATAATTTTCACCATATTTAAGAATCTTTTAGTTCAAATATAAGATGCATTTAATAATTTTCATGTAAGTGAATCTAATGAAATAAGTTTCAAGTTATAAGTGAATCAAAAATTAATTTAAAGTTGTTTCTTAAAATTAAAAATGATTATTATTTCAGAAGGATCAAATTAACTCAAATTTAGAAGATAAAAGATTAAAATAAATATTTTAAACGAGAAAATTAAAATAAATATTAAAAATAAGATAAAAGATTAAAAATTTAATATGAATCATTTCATACTTATTCTTTAAATTAAATGAAAGAATGTCGTATTTTCATAGTGATGAAAAGAAAATATCCCTTGATATTGTTTTTTCCTTTGAATATAGAACATGGTCAAACCTTATTAAATAATTTTATAAGAATCATCATATGAGGTTCGCTAATTCACATCTATATGTACACTATTGCATTTTGAGTTACACATATCATGGATCGATCTCATAGATACTGACAACAATAATGTTTGACCTTCACAGGACCTGGTTGTTCCTCACTGGGGTATGGTGCATTCGTGGAATTGGGGCCCTTCAGAGTCAACTCTGATGGCAAAACACTATTTCTTAACAAATATGCTTGGAATGAAGGTGAGGCAATTATACTTGTATTTCATTATTTTCTACCTTTATTATATATATATATATAGCGCTTCTACGTTGTTTCCCTTTGATAAGTGTATTTGCTCGTATCCTCACCTTTTAGAGCAGCTGAGTGTTGGGTTGCGTACTCTATTGGGTAACAAGGGTGACAAACTATACACTGATCTTCAGTCTTCGAGTAAATGCTCCATTATTTCTCTTGTGATAGTGAGGTGAAAATTCAGATCTTCACTCTTGTTTTGACAATAGATACCTTCACGTTGTTTCCTTCGGGTAGACGGTGTTCCCTATATCCTTGTCCCTTAGAGCAACTGAGTGTTGGGTTGTATGCTTTGTTGGGTGTCAAGGATGGTAAACCGAAACATCTAGGCTTCAAGATTCATGTGAATGCCCCATGTCGCTTGCTGTGTCTGAATCTTCTCTTTTGCTTCAATAGTGTAGATGCCCCTCGAGTAGATGGTGTTTACCTGTATCCTTGTCCCTAAGAGCAGTTGAGTGTTGGTTTATATGCTCTGTCGAGTGATAAGGATGGTAAATTTGTACCATCTAGACTTCTGGCTTTGATGTCGATGCATCCTACTGCTTCTGCTTGCTACATGGTAGTGTATTCTTTTATTTGTAGCTTGTTGATGAGGGAGTATATTCTGAGCTCAGCCTCTCCAGGCTAGACTGATATTTAGGGCTTCAGCCGGCCCAATGCTAGTTTTGGGGTCTAGCAACCCTTACTGATCTTGTACTAGTTTTAGGGATCTAGCAATCCTTGTAACACCCCAGTTTTCAATAAAGTTATTATTATTATTATAATAATAATAATTATTATTATATGGTATTTGGTCATAATTATTTTAATAATTATAGAAGAATATTATTTTGTACATTTTAAATAATTATTGTTTTGGACAATTATTTTGTACGTATTAAATAAGTATTTTTTATTAGCATATTTAAATAAATATTTATATGTTTTAAGAGAAGGTTGATTTTATATGATATTTTGTTATTGAAATTATATTATTATATTTTGGGTCAGAAATATATTATTATTATAGAGGAAAAATATTTTATAATATACATGTATTTATTTTATTTAATTATTTTGAGGAAAAAGAGAAGTGGGTTAGAAGAGAAGGAAAATG